CTTTTTCCCGTCCTCGGCCAAAAAATGGTTTGGGTGGTCATTGTCTCTCTTCAATCATGCCATACTGATTTTGCAGTTCTTTATTCTGGTCATCCGGTATATTGGCCCAGGTGCGTTGCTTACACAGGCGAATACATTTCAAACATCTTTTGAAAGGTGATCATTTTGCACAGTAGGGATGGAAGTAAAAATGTAATTTCATGGTGTCGCATTGGTGCTCCTGGTTGTGTTAATGAATCCTTACAAAAGCTATCTTAAAGTTATGTAACCTTTTTTCAAAGAACATCACAGCATCGTTTATTGCTATTTTCTCATTTCGTGGATTATTCTCATTATACTAGACCAGTAATCTTGAAATTATACATTCTGCCTTGCTGAAGGTTGTGGTTTAAGTTTACCCTGAGCACTGAGCCATATGGCTAGAATAGATTAGTTTTTTCCACTTAATACCGTGCTGGATAATCTGATGTACACAACTGGTAATATACATTGCAAAATTACATTGGTATTCCATCATTTATATTTGTTATGAATCAATAAGTGGGAATTAAGTTAATAATGCAGATATGACAAAGTAGACCAAAACTGGATCACAATTCAAGCTCTGTACAGAACAGATGGTGGGGACCTACTTTCTGTACCGTCTTCCAATAGGTCAGTGTCAGTCTCTCATTTATACGAACCACCAATCCTACCACCAAGTTACCACCTGAAGACGGAAGCTTGAGTTGCCTCCGAAACGTCGTGTTTTAATTGTTTATTTTATTTTAATTAGTTTTTTACCTACGTGACTTTACCGAATAAAACCAAAGAATATTAGTAGGTTTCAGTTGTGCCCTACCACAATTCGCAAAATATTTGCCACTCTGGCTCGTCTGGTTGCCCCCTGTGACTTAGAAAGTCAAAATAAATATTACTTGGGAGTTTGAACATTCAAAACGTATTTAATGGTGAAGATGATGATGAAATGTAGCTCGATATTTTTTTTATTTATATTATCTCTGGTATTGTCACTTCAATTGTATTACATTTATTTAATAATTTACACGATTCTGAGGTTATAATGACAACCGTTGTATTGGCTCATGAACCTGAGCAGGCCAAGGCACCGTCACTCGAGCAGGCTCCTATTTTGATACCTTGAGGTGGCTGAATGTGAATGTCCTTTCTGACTTAAGTGTACAGCGTGTAATGATGATGAAGCAGAAAGTTAGGCTCCCTAAAGAATTTCGGAGGTAACGCCAAATTCTCCAGATGAACATCCATCAACAGGACCTGAGCGTTTCCAGCTGTTCAACGCTTGGATTTACTTCAGAAGGATTTCGCAGTGGCAGTGAATGGCAGATGCCATCTCTTGTCAAGCGTCAACTGGGGATGTTCATGGAATGGCGGTGGTTGATAATTATTTAACACGGCTGAAAATGTGGCGCTGCTCAGTGCAGCTGTGGTGGAATTGCCTGATTATGTTTGAGTTATTCTTAGACTCCTATGGATTACGCACTCATAATTTTTTAGGGATCCTGCAGTGGTTATTAATGATCAATATGTTGTCGTAGACGGTCTTGACTCAGGGTAAATGCTGCCAATCAAAGGCAGCAGGGTGCTGTTATGTTTTCCTGGTCCCAGAAGGATACTTTCTATTATTAAAGTTGTAAAATACCTTAATGATTGCACAGGGACTGTATTTTTAGATGGAGCTCTCCCTCCCGATAGCGTTTATAAAACGTGTTCCTGCAGTACTTATTTAATATATTTTTTTAAAGTGCACCAAATTTAATTTGGAACTTAATGCTTTTCCTTGTTTTTATTTTATCATAAAAGTTTATTTTTCATTTGGTTGTCCAGGCTCTTTGTTAGGGCTCGGCTGTGTACTTTATACTTATGTAGTGGTTCAACTCGGAGGCAGTAATTCTTGGAGGCACTTATGTTATTTATATACACAATCTCCCTTCACACACCCTACAGTCGCCTCGGCTACACACACCCTAGCCTTTCCACAACACGAGCCGTCTAACACCGATGGCGCTGACCGATACAGCTAACAACCGTATAGCAGCGCAATATCAAGCGACGACGACTGCAGCGACTGACAGCCCCGAGGTCCTGCACAGGGGCCCTTCTTATACTGTCAGCGTGACCTGGCTCCGCCCCCGGCCACGCCCCCTTTCTGGAACCTACCAGCGGGTTCTTGGTGTGCCGCTTTCTGTGACCTTTCCCCTAGATCCCCCTCTGGTGTATCACGTGGCCTGCTGACGTCAGGGCTGCCGTAAGCCACAGAGCCCCTTCCCCGCCAGCAGCCAGTGCTATGCTGCTACATTGCTTATTCTATGCCACTACACTTATATTACAAACAACCAAATATAAAATCCTACCATATTCCTCTTCCAATCCCAATAGCTTCTTGATATTGCAGATGATAACACATACAAGGTCCGTGGCTTCCTGGTCCCAGTCTTCATCCAGCCGCAACCATTTTCTCTCCTGGCTTGTAGCTCTGTCACTGTTGTTCAGAGCAATTACTCTCTTTCGTTGGAGCTGCCACCCCTGCTCAGGCTGCACATTTGGGATTGAGGTTTTCTGCCCCCAGCATTTTATACGCTCTCCAAAATGCCTTTGGGACGTGTGGTCCTTTGTGGATGTATTTGAGTGCTCAGATGTTCGTACATGTGGTGCATGACCTAGAGTACCCCTGGAGGATTTATGCACTCGAATCTTACTGAATCTGCTAAGAGAAAAGGCATGCCTTATACAATGATCGCTTGACCCCTCCTAAAAGCATTGCAGGCCAACTCTTCATTTGCAGTGTGTCGCTGCATGACACATGCGGTGACTCAGGATTTCCTTCATGTTTCTCTGCATTTAGTACCCTGCCAAATGGAGTGAACCAAGTTCAAATGAAGAGTGTGCCAACTAAAATTGTAGCTGTCTTGAGGGTTTTTTTGTTATCCAGAAAAGGTGTCCATTGAAAATGTAAATAAAGTGTAACAATTAAAGTGGTGTATAACATAGGTCTACCCTAAAATGACCAACTGAGCCTAGTTACAGAATCCTTCGTCTCATAACAAGTGCATATGCGAATGCCGATGTACAATTGTGTTCTCTGTAAATAAGCACACTGAGCACATGCACCTACTTGAATTTAATTAGCAACTTACTGCAGGGCAGACCCTTACACTTGGCAGACACTCGCAAGGCTCACGTTTCACTCCCTTAATAAAAGCCAGTCCCAGTCAAATGGAAAGCTGATCTCTGTCCAACTCCATTCCTGACAAGAAAAAAAATCGGCCGTGTAGTGACTGTGGAATTGTACCCAATGTCGTTCTCATTGGAAGTAAAGGGTTTTTTTATGGTTGCTTTCATGTAGACCCCATTGATGGTATGTTTCAAACAAGGCAGTGGATATGTTCTTGAAAAATTATGCACTGTTAAAAGGCATTCTTTGAGACTTGAGATATTTCAGTGCCGTGGTTATACGGTACACTTGAAGGTGAATTCGTGCAACAGAACCGAATTCATGACGGTGGATTGTTCTATGCGAACTCCATGAACAAATGAAAACATAACCTGCATTTATTCCTAGTTATTTCAACTTGTAACATGCACAGTTTTTACTCGCGCTCGAAGAGAGAGTGGGGCTCAGAGGCACAATTGACCACAGACAAGCACAAAGGCAGCCATGCAGTGAGCTGGTGCAAACAATTTCCCAAACTCTGCATTCCTGTATATATTTAAGGTGTTATCAGCCAATTAATGAGGGCTTTGGGTTTGCTTAAGCATCCCATGTTCCATGTAAAAAATATTTACTTAATTGCCCTGGATAGCGTCACATGCATCATCATATATTATACCTGTTTGATATGTGCAGCTGGATTTGGTACAACGTTTCTAAGTATAATTACAGTTCATAATGATTGGCTGAGTGCTGATATTAATTACTTGGAAAATTTAGAGCTCGTTTGAATCCACTCCCAACTAAACAGTTGGGTTTGATTCACGAATTCATAGTTGTGGGTCACTGTCTGGTTATGCTCATGGGAGAATGCAGCTTTCCATCAAATAATTTTAAAAATGTAATGTTTTGTTAATGCACTAAATGCTGGGACCACCTGTTTCTGAAAATTCAGGGAAATGAACACCAATTTGAAATATGATAACTTTTGTACCTTGTGGATTCCTGCCTTTGCTGGAAAATGTGGGTTCTCTGGAAAACTGGATGGAATCCAGTGTGAAGGTTTACAGTGATTGCAGGACCATCAACCGTAGTAGTATGTAAGATAACATGACACATCATAGTATTGTGACTGCATCAGGGGTATTGTCAATGATAAAGTGTATCTTGCATTTTGGAGTTTGATTGCTAAATGTCTGCTGTGGAATGTACATTAGCGACATTTGTCTTTATTCATTTTAATAGATTACTCCACACTAATGCTGGACCATAAATACTTAGCTGGAAAATGACCTGCAACTGAATAAAAAAAAACATGTAATGAGGTTTCGCTATTTAATTTGTTTTTCCGAGTCCCTCTGAATTATTATCAGTGGACTAAATAATGTAAATTGATTGACCTGGATGTGTTATGCTTTTAAGTTGGGCCTTATTGACCAGTTACAAATCTGAGGTGATGATTGTGTGGTGTAAGTATGGTTTACAGGGCAGCAAGTGTTGTTTTTTTTTTTAAATGGCACTTCCAGTGGGTGCCAAGGGGTTACATGGATAGTCAGGAGGTGCTCAAAGCTGCCTGGCATTAATTAGATATTGAGAATATATTCACGTGAGATGGATATCCTTCAGAAATGTGCATTCCAAGCTTTAACACACAGGTGAAATAGATTGAAGTCAAGTATTCAACAGCATTAAGGATCTCTGAACAGCTTTTGCCACTTGGCTACTCTCTTTTCTTTGCCTGCCATAATGAGTGGGGCTTACTGATAACCACGCCAAGATTTGAACAATGGTGAACTTCTGTTTCTGTGTGTGTGCACGCCCATTTGTGCAGGGAGGACAAAATCAAGTCGTCCTACAAACCAGTGCTGCTTTCCGGGTCACTGAGATGCCCTACAAACTACTTCCTGATGAATTCCCATCAGGAAGCAGAGTGGTATGTTTCACGAATGCAATTGGGCTCGCTGCATTACATTGACTACTGGCACCCAGTCCTTAGTTATGCCAAGGCCTTTAAAAGGCGGTGCACTTGTGCGGTCGTAGCACAACCTCTGGGAAAGCCCATTTTAAAATAACCTTCAGATTGGTTGCTCAACCCAGGCACGGTGGGCAATGTAATGGCCATGTTTTATAATTTAGAACTGGAACATTAACGGTGAGTGTGTGTTATTGGGTTGCACAGTAAGCGCCGCGTACAAACATAAATAGAAACTGCCAGAAAATCATCAAGAGTAATCCCACATGCCTCATGGATTCAATATGCGTCTTCTTATTTGAAGCATATTGCCAAACTGGAAAAAAGGAGTTTTCCTACAAGGAGCAGTATCAGCAGCACTGCAGCAGGCTTATGAATGAATAATGTATTGACTGAACAGAACGTGTTATTTACAACCAGGTGAGAGCCCACTGAGACAAATTCTTGTTAATAATTGGACCACCTATTTGTTGACATGTGCGGCCTATTACAAAAGATATATATATACTCATTAAGGAATGTTCCAATATTCTCAATGGTTGGCCTTCCCGATAAAATAAACATTGAGAATTGGTAGTGCTTTTATGTATACGTTAAGCAGCACTATTTACTGGCCCAGGTTTTAGTGTAACAGGAATGAATCCTTTACTTGGCTCAAGATATTCATAATAATTGTAATGTAAATAGTTTGTTTTAAACAGCAGCAACAGATAAATATTGAGTACACGAAGTGCTAAGCTGTCATAATCCTTCATTTTTGGGGGGGGGGGGGGATTTTCCTCCAGATTGTAGTAGTAGTAGTAGTATTAGTCGGCTGTTAAAGCTATTGTGAAGGACGGCCATTTTAAATAGGAGACGATGGCACAGTGGAGGAGACGACATCGACGACGTTCCCATCGTGTGTGCGTCGTGCACCGCCAGGTGAACACGACGGTGGTTCTTGTGAAAGCGGGGTTCCAGCGCCCCGTGCCCTACTGGGTGATTTTCTTGGCTGTGCTGGCCGGTCTGCTGCTCTTGGCCCTGCTTGTCTATGCCCTGTGGAAGGTGAGTTTGCAGGTTCCTTGCGGTTTACACCCATTGCATTTGCACGTCGCGTACATCGCAAGTGGTTGAGACGTTCGAGAATATACTTTACGTATTCTTTACCGAAAGAGCTAAGAATATGAATTTACTGCAGTCACGAAAGCTTTAAATCCAAATATAATTTGCGTCATATTTATGTAAAAAAATGACATTTCAAACGGTTGCGGAAAAAAATAGGAAATTCCTTGTATAAGCGTGGCTCACACGAAAAGGTATTCAATTGGATTTCCTCTCCCTTTTACAATGTTTTACATAATTTCTGTTTCTGTTTTTGTGTCCTTCCGTCGCATAAAACACACAAATTAAAATATCACGCTTTTGCATCTATGCACCATCACACCTGCATGCACACCCTCACACGTTTGCACACGTACACATGCAAAACGCGCAGATGGGATTTTTCAAGCGGGAGCGCTACATGCATGATGAGATTCCCGCTGAAAAAGCGTTTCTCAAGCCGCGGCAGAATGGAGTGGAAGCCTGACCGAAGCAGACCGGGACTAACCTGCACCAGACCTGATGAGACCGGATTGAATTAGATTCTGAAAGAAGCTAGCCTCGCGTCTGACCACGTTGAACAGCAACGCTGAGCCAAATGTCAGATGCCTGGAATGGCCAGAAACAGACTGCATGGGATCAAGCAGCATGAAACACCATGGACAAGATATGATGCTCAAATTAGAAGCGGTCACAACAGAGAAAATAACATTAAATATCCAAAGACAATATTAAACTATATTTGATTAACATTGGCAGGGGGACCTGGTCCCTAGAGAACAGGCGTTAGGCCACAAGACGGTCTGGTTAATACACTGTCTACTGAATGGGAAGAGTTGATCAAGCCATGCAGAGTAGTGCAGACCCACGGTGTGATGGGCTGTGTGAAATGACAGGAACAGGTTGAACCGGATTTGCTGTTCTAACTCGGGTCTCGCCAGCATTTTTTTGGATCATGCTTGGATGGTGGTTCCTTAAAAACCTCTGCTTCTTGCACTGAATGTTAAGAACTGTTTTTCTTCAGTGTTGCGTGTTGTTAAGGACTTTAATTTCTGCACCTTCCATCTGAGGGAAAGCACTGGGCTATTTGCTCAGTATCAATGCCTAACCCCCCGATGCAAGCCTTGACATGCACACTTTCAACCTGCCTGATGCATAAACGATGACAAAAATATGAATTCTGGGTTTCTTCCCTCATCACGAGTCGTGTAATTAATGCAGCTGCATATGCTATCAAAACGTCGACTCTGCAACTCTGAGTCTTATTTTAAGAGGCATTCGGCTGACTATGGGTTGGTTTAACTATGCATTTCTCTACACCTGGAGTTTGGAGCACCAATGATTAAACCGTTTATGTTGATTGCTTCACAGAATAATAAATGCCGCGCTTCCACAGGAGTGGCTTCGACACTTTTGCCAATGTGCCTTCACGTCCGACATAAGCCACTTATGCTTCTATAGGCATTCTATTTTAATCACTGCTACCCTTTCCACAGTCAGCTGCAAATTCCTAGAAGCCAAAGAAGTGTGCGAGGTGCAGTGTCTGTTGGAATTGCATATGTAGCTATTTCTGTTTTGTTTTTGGTGCTGAATTATGAGTGTCTGGCATCACATTTACGATTGATCTTCATTGTTTGAGGACAAAACACATGTATATTTATCTTAATTATAATAGTAACAACATGCATTGTTCACAAAATTATTTATGTTTTTTTAATAAGCCGTAGGGTAATTTAAAGAATTGAGAAAAACATAGGCTGCAAAAATTATGCTCTAGATGGCTGCATGACAAATTTGCAAAGTACTGCCCTTGTTTGAGCTTAATATGACAATGTGCTTCTTCCACGTGGTTTGCCTTTGGTTGGAAAGCCCCGTAAACTGGTGTTTTATCGGGAATAACAGATACTACCCGTCTATATTCTTAGTTCTTTCGGTAAAGTCACGTTGAAGGGAAACAACAAAATAATAAAATATATATAAAACAAAAAATTTCTCACGACGTTTCGACCATAACACAAACGGTCACACACACCTGAAGACGACCGTTTGTGTTATGGTCGAAACGTCGTGAGAATTTTTTTTTAATATATATTTTGTTGTTTCCCTTCAACGTGACTTTACCGAAAGAACTAAGAATATGAATTACTGCAGTCACGAAAGCTTTAAATCAAAATTTAAAACTACCCGTCTAATTTTGGGGCACAATCCAATTGAATAATTAACTATTGTTTCAACATTGTGGTAAACGTATCTCCTTTAGTGGCGGCGGAGGGCCATGCAAACGAATTGCATGCAACATATAATTGATTCTCACTATATTTGATGTGTGCATCGGGATAAAAAAAAACCACATTGACTAATTGGTGATGCATCAAATTTCAAATTGTGACCGTCTGACTGCACAGTTATGGCATGCGAATATGGGGATGAGTGCTATAGAATTTTACTTGGTATGTGACAATGCAGGAGAGAGTTTTCAGTTATTCGTTATGGTAGTCTCAAATGCAATAACCAAATTATATTGTAACGTATACGGCTTTGACATTTCAACAGATATCCAGCTTTATAACCTCCTTTCGTGTGACTGCCACAGAATATTAAATCACAGATTATATAGTCAATGGACATCACTCAATGCATGTTTTACAATTCATTGACTTTATGTGAATTGGCCATCAAGTTAAAAAAGAACACTAATGTCGCTTAGCTATCTTTGATACAATGACTTTCCCTTGTCTTGGTTTTGATGTGTGCTCGTGTTTTGTATCTGTCAAATAATTAAGCTCCTGCACTTTACTTGCAAAAGGCATGTTAGCAAATGTCTGATCTAAAAGTCTGGATTTTTTTAAAGCGCATTAAATGTTTATATAAAACACTTTAAAGGCAAATTTTAACACGTTTAGACATTTCATTTTATTGTACATTACTTTAATGATGTCCCCAATGTATCGGCTGCGTGCACTTTTAATCACTGTTAGAAGGTCAGGAATAGTTAGTGCGGAAAATCTTGCCAATAATATTACTGCCAAAATGACCTCTTGTGCTATATTGCGAGCATTGTACAATCAAAGCCGATACACCTTCCAAAATGTACACTTGTAGTAGATCCCTTCAAGGGTTAATTTATCAGAAGTTAATAAAATAAAGTGTAGTGTCGAGCATTGGTCGCTATTAGCTGAATAGAATCTGCCTCCCGTTACTGTAATAGCCATAATCATGATGCAAGCATTTTTGTGTAATTGTGTTGTATTTGCTGCCTCTTGGCACATACAAGCGATGGAAATATGCAGGTAAGATTGGCAATAACCACGCCACAAAGGCGGGATTGTTGGAATTAAAATAGAAGCATTGTGGCTGTGTGTCTTTACGACCGTATTAGAATGCTGTGCTTTTTTTCTACACTGGGGTTCACTAAGAACTGATTCTTTCAGTGCATTCATCGACGAGAGCACATCTTGCAGACAGTGTGGTCATCTGGGCTTAGGGTAAAAACTGTCTTTACATAATTGTCCTCGGATAATAAACAAGTGCGCTCTGTGGTTTGGCTTTGTTTTTGATCACGTGATGGCATGCGTTATAATTGGGAGTTTTTTTCCCCCTAACCTGTATAGAATTTCTCAAACTTCATTCCCTGGGCTGCCCTACAATGAACATCTACATCCAAATGTTAATTCCTCTTCCATGCACACGAGGGACATTGGTCAAAAAATAATAAAGCCTGTAAAGGGGGAGGAATTAATTTTGGGAAACCTCTGGCTTTTTTAATGAAGCACTGCAAACTGGGTCCTGAAAACATGCATTTTAACATACTCATTGATATATATTTTTTTGTAAACGTTCATTCATGGAATTATTTGGTTACAGTTATGGTCAGAAATGGAATTTGCCAATAGTTGGAAAGTGTGCACTTAATTTAGGTGACTTTTCAATTATAATTGGGTCAGCAATTGTGGTGAGACACAAGGCAACATTGTGACATTTATATTCCACCTCGTGTATTCATGAGCCAATTCTATTCGTTCAGCCTTAGTTACATGGGTATACGATACATTTTTCCCCATTTAGACATTTTAGGTCATGCATGTCCACTTGTCATTGTTATTTTTATAAGTTAAATTATTTTGTGACCGGTTCATGATTAATGAAAGTTTCTGCATATTGTGGTGTCTGCCAATTTGATGAGAGTGGCATTTATTTTGTATTTCGTTTAGTGTGCGTGTGGTTTTATTTTGTACACTGCCTAGTGTGGTTGGTAGACTTTGCATAATACTGTAATATGTATAAGGTCTATACAGAATGGCTGGGGTAAGATTCTGCCAAAAACAGTAACTTTTTTATGATGAGATCCTGTAAGAGTGGCTCATAACACGTTCCAACAAATCGTACAGCAAATGTCTTAATCAAATAATTAAAAGCAGTTCGAATGTGACTTTCAAAAATAAACATTTTACATGAGCTGTCTGTCATCTATGTGTTTGGCATTAAAATTCATGCATTTGACACGTTTGCATATTTGGTGCAGAATCTTACCTTGGGTGTGCTGCTGACATTGTACAAGAGTGGGTTTGTAATTAATAAAGTGATTTGTAAATGCAGATTAGACTGCAAGTGATGGATTTATCACAGTGATTTATTCAGCCAAGGAAGTAGTGGCTTTTGTGGAATTGCTTTGGCAAGATTATGAATTCTACTGGAATGTTCTATGATTAATTAAAAAAAATCGGAAATTAATTGTAAGCTTCTTGCAGCATTTTTTAAAGCTGCATATTGAATTAAATGGTGTATTTAATGTTGCATTTGCGAATACTTGTTGTATTGGTTGGGAAAATTACCAGATCCATGGAAAGTCTACAAAAACCTCGACTCAAATCCACTGACGGCTTTAATTTAAAGTTTCCTAAAATTACTGATGAATAATTACATTGCATAAAACATGATACTTACAAATAATCCAAAGTTCAGGTTCTCATTTTTCATTTTTTCCATTTTCCGCGGTTTTTTTTTTACAAATGACTGTGGTTTAGTAATAGTGCTGCTCCAATTTGCACAATATATTTGTTAGCTGAAAGTAATGGCTTATCATTGCTTGACAGTGCAGTATGTTATTTTAATTGTCATGTTTTTCTCTGATTTGTTTTACTGTTAGTCAGTTTGAATATTGATTATTGTACCTAAAAGGTAATGACTTTCCCAAGTAAATGTGTTTAGATCAAGTAGAAAGTGGAAACGTTATTTGGCTCTATTTGATGGACAAATGTCTGACCTAAGACGAATGTTCCAACGAGCACTTCCTCCTAATCCCACGCATCTGTTCTTACGCGGATGGTTAGCATCCTAGTTTGTGTAGACTTTCCACCGAATATAACCTTTTCTCGAGTCCCTTCTGAGTCAATGTAACTAATCCTTGTAATTCTAATATTCAGTACGTCCGAATAGTATCGTATAGTCTTCTGCTTTAACTGTCAGGCTTTATGCCACGTTTTTTTGTTAAACGTGACAACACAGCACAACATACATTTGAATAGTTTGCAATACAAAAACAACTTGCATATAATCAAGTTGATAAGGTATCTGTAATATTCACAGCCCGTAGGAGTGATAAGTTGCATATGTTCAATTAAGTCATACGAAGCTGTTCGTTTTACACTTAATGTGCGATGTTAAGTTGAGATCCAATCAAAGCCAGACTCAGGAGCTCCTTACACCTTAATGCCCTTGATAAGCGTGGCTGGAGAACAATTTCATCAACCTGCCAATGGATACACTTTTACAATTTGTTTTAATTGCCGTTCATTGAATTGTCTAAAACTTTTCAGATGAAAGAGGATAATGGTAGCGGTGACCACTAACCCATAGCATTTGTGCTGTTACCACGCTTCAGGATGTTTAATAAAATTAAAAATATGATTACTTCGGTAAATGTGGTAAGTTATGGAGTTTTGTTTGGTCCTTAAAGGTACTCTATCTCCAACGTGCAGGATAATGTAGGTTAATGATAGATGTATTACAGTATATATTTTTTTATCCTGTCGAGAACGGAAGTGTGTGTTTCAATGGAGACCGATAATAAAATAAATATGAACAAAATGTTCTTTGGTAAGAACTTAATCTTGGCTTCAGTGAAACAGACAGCATATGAGCCAACATTAACTTTATTTATAGTGTAACCTTAGCTCCTACATATTTTCCCGTTTCTCTGCCTGACTGAATCTTCACCTGGTCGAAATAATATAACTAGCAGTTTATTGCGCTTATTCGTTAGTTTTCTGTGTTTAAACCAACATTCTGGTGCGAAAGTTAATGTGCGTTTCATGGTCATCATACTCAACCGTACTATTGTATGCCAATACCGACTTATGTGCTCCAATTTCTAATTAAGGTATGCCGATTTTATTGTATTTGAGTCTAAATATACCATAGCTAGTTAAATGTGTTAAATAACAATTACACACACATGCACAAGTATATATGTATAAACATTATCACAATGCAGTGTGTAAAAAAAAGTGTCATTTTAATCAATTGAGTTCATTAGTCTGCCCCAACCAATACAACAATAACAAAGTGCTTGCTTTTTGTGTTATTAAAAAAAGGACTGCATTTAATTTTGTTGTATGTCAATCCTTTTGCTGTAAATAATGTACATGTGTTCTAATATAGCATTATTTTGAATAAAGTATGGCTTTTTTTGTAAACAGAATGAGATTGTGTTTGATTCCCGCTCAAGGTCAACACCAGAGACAATTAGCTGAACCGGTCATGGGCCTCCCGTAGGTCAACTGCCTTGAATGAGTACCTGGTGCAGTGTGTAAACATCGCCACTAGGGAAACAAAGGCGTGGTTCTGGCCACCCATTGTGCTGGCCTTTCTAGGTGCTCGATAATAGTACTTTCCCCCACAATATGTTAAGGCTATACGGGGGTCTTTGGTATTTGTGGTACTTGAATACAAGTATGTGCTTCGGACTTGATACTATTGTCACGGGATTATTGAATAAAGGAACATTGTTACATACATA